TATATATATATATATATATATATATATATATATATATATATATATTATATATGTGTGTGTGTGTATGTATTTGTATGTATTTGTATGTATTTGTATGTATATACGTATTACTATTTTATTTTTTGTTTCTTTCTTTCAGTCCGCCCCGACTTTAGTAAACAAATGAAAGGAGCAAACTTCCACAAAATTATCCAGATGACACGATTTAACCATGTGTTTTGTGATTTATCCATGAATGAACTCTCAACCTTCTTATTTTAATTTTATTTTATATAATAAATATAATTAGTATTTGGACAAAACAAAATCACATTTAAGTGCCAGAGAATTTAAAAGCTGAAAACTGATTTGAAAATTAAAAGTATGACTGCAGTCATCTGAAAATTGTTGGGACCTTCTTCAAAAAGCTCGAAAGCTTTTAAACAAGAGGCTGCAGCTAAATCCCACCAATTAAGACTTGAACGCAGCACGGACTTGAACGCAGCACGGACATATCAAGAGATCAAAGAAAATTATTCTAAACTGATGATAAATTTAATATGTTTGAGTTTTCACATTTATTCACATTTGCAACAACAAGATTAACACTTTTTATATTGTACAATAAAAATGTATATGTACAATATAATTTTTATTGTACAATAAGAAGATTGTAGTTTATAACACAAATACTATATAGTATATACTACTGTAGTGTACTACATACTGTACTATATTATGTACTACATATGTATTCTGAAGTACATAGAAAGTAGTTCACAGTTAATAATCTTGGTGTATATAAAACGGAGGTGTTTTGTGATTTATTTTATTTTTCTTACACTTAATGTGCTCTGAACAAACACACGAGACCTCGCTCTCTCTCACTGGGTGTGTGCGCGCGCGTGTGTGTGTGCGGACACTTAGATGCCTCCTGTGTCCGTAGATATTTGTCATTTGATTTAAGTAAAGTTTGAAACGTTGAAGCAGGTCCTGCTTTACGCGTCACGCGCACAACTTGAAATTCGTTCTTCACACTTCAAAGCGCGCGGCAGAATAAATAAAAACTAAAGAAAATAAATGTACTCACAAATCCGTGCTTGTCCGAGATGTTGTTGGTGAGCTTGAGCTTGTGGAAGGCCACGGGCTTGGCCATCCACTGCTCGCCCGTGGCGGGGCTGTCCGGGTGGATGTACATCCGTTTGGGCATCTCCGGGTCGGCCTTCCCGGCCACCATCCAGCGCGAGTTGTGGAACTTGTACCGGCAGTCGTCCGCTGCCACGATGTCCATGAGCAGGATGTACTTGGCTTTTTTATCCAGGCCGCTGATGCGCACTTTGAAGGGAGGAAACATCCTCCTGCAGAGAAACACACACGGTCACACACTGCTGCTGTGCGCGAGGCTGTGCGCTCTTCATGCGCACGAGACTCCACGTCTGTGCGTTCTGGAGCTCTGCTGTCTCCTCCGAAAAAGTTGGAGATAAAATGTGACAAACGTTCCCAAAACATCACAAACACGCGCGCGCGTTCAGCAGTTTGGGTGAAATCGTGTTTTACTTTGTGATCCTGCAGAAATCAAAGTTCTGATTATTGACCCGGTTTATTCTCTTTGAAGCACAGGATGCATTTAATATTTTTAATATTTTTAAAAGTTCTAAACTGCAGCAGATCAGACTAGGTACTTTTTATTTTTATCTATTTATTATATTTTTTAGTCTTTCTGACCTGTCAAACTTGTTTTTATTATATATATATAT